TGTTATTGGCATATATGTGCATACTGTGCGTATGCCTCGATATTGCCTTAATAATTCACAAACTTCTTGTAAGCAATGATGCAGTCTTAAACCTCAATAGGAAGATACAAGCAAAACAATACCAAGTAAAATGTGCACTACATTTTTAACCAATCTTTCTTTTTATAAATAAATAGACAGTTTTCTCCCTAAAAGACATTTCAATGTTGTCTATTTCTTCATTTATTTTTTTTTCTATTTTTGTTTTGTTTAGAATTGAACAACTTTTTTTTATATACCGATTTTCGATTGAAATCAAATTTTGAGTCAATAGTTAAGTAATTAAACTAATAAAAGCTCATATTTCTTTTAATTGACAGATAGAGAGAAAGAGAACGAGAGGATATTTACCAATAGAACACCACATAGGTTATTGACTTAATATTGTCAGACTATAATAATAATAATAAAATTTGGTGATTATTCTTACTCAATATAGATCAATAGTACATATTGTCAGTGTTACTATTATGTTCAATGTTTATTTTTATTATAAAAAAATAGTTTCTATTGTATTCCTAGTACGTTTTAATTAAGTTAATACAATGATAATGGTAACTATTTAAAGTAGACTTATTATTATTACTGATGAAACAACTTAATGAACAAAATGATAAATTAAAATTTTATTTTAGTCATCAGTTCTGTTTGTTGTTTTTTTGTTCTTTTAAAGAAACTTGAATTAACATAACACATTAAAGAGAATACAAAAATAGACATTACTATTTTAAATTGCATATATCAGGAAGATTGTATAGAAATGAATTCAATGTTTTTAAGTTTTCAGTAAATATTCTGTATTATCAGAAAACACTATTGAAAAATGAACAGTTCTGAACAATTAGTTTCATTTTTAGTTTAGTTAAAAAAATTTCATTAGTTGTATACCAACATTTATGCATACATGAATGAACCTACTCTTAAAGCTGGTCTTACAAAGGAACCAATGGATACTAGATGTGATCATGTGTATGGAGTTGTGGATAGGCAGTACGAAAAAAGAAACGAATATACAATATTTTTTTTATCGGTATAGGGTGGTGTAGATTATTGAGTTTAAATAATTGTCACGAATAGATTAATGTTAGACAATCATTGAAAACCTGGTAACACTGGACGACCGTATTGTCCTAGTGTGGAACTCCTCAGCATTGCGAATACAAGATCCCACACGTGAGACTCGAATCCAGGACCTACGGTCTTGCGTACGAATGATTAATCTTTAAACCAATGACCCGGCTGGCCTAACTTCAACCAATCCACTAGCCATGGCTAGTGGAGTTCAACCGTGTCCGTTGTATGGCAGTTACTCACTGAAGACAATGGTGGACGGTCGTGCAACAATTTACTACCGGTTGATGTCAGCCCATGTAAAAATTAGTCAGTTATACACGAATGAGGATATGAACAGATGTAAATTACTGCAAGTCACTAGGTATCTGATAGGTAGTTAAACTGTTTTTCAAAGTATTCGGCCTATTATTTCAATCTTAGGGTTTGACAATCGATCAAATTTCCGTCTTTTGATGTTAAGGCTTCATCGAATTTCCGCTCCTATTCTACATCAAATTGCTAAATTCTTAGTTCTAAATAAAAACAAAATCTCATCAATACGCGTTAGTAGTAGTTGCATGCAACAAGCTATATATATATATATATATATATATATATATATATATATATATATATATATATATATATATATATATATATATATATATATATATATATATGTATATATGTCATTAATAAACAATTTTTATAAACTATCTTGTCGTAGTGTTCACAACGTATATTATTGTATTATAGTATTACTTCAACTTGGTATAAAACTACACATTGACTTGGTAGCTTTGAAGTTGAACTCTTCTGTATGAAGACTGATTAAACTGTAGCAGTGAAGGTGATCTTCAAACCCACAACTCAGTACTTCAATTTAAAATATTTTGATCAATGAATCAATATTAATAATGGCTTGCATTATTCCATCGTTATTATTCATGATGGAATTTTGATCAGTTTTTATCGGTGTATGTGCATCCTGTGAGGATTGCCTCGATATAATCATTCTGTTACAAGCTGCCAACCAAGGCTGATTAAAATTAAATTGGGAATATCAACAACAAGTGAATTTGAGAACTGATGAATGGTAATATCAACATTGTGTCCGTTACATGCTGGTGGTTATATAAACTCAGTAGCTAAGTGGAGAACATGTTGGGCATTGGAAATGAAAATTAATGGATTCGAGCCCCAATATGAATATCAACAGTAGGTTGCAGGCACATCCAATTGATAAATAAAACGAAACGCGCGTCATGAATCTCAATAATAACTGAAACCCATCTATTTGAAAATGGTTCACTACACCTTATGAATTAAAACTTTATTGATAACCAAAATCATAACACTGAACTATTATTATAACCTGTTTTCTCCTCATAACTATCAACTTTCTCCAATCTTTTTTATTTCCTTAATATTAAGAAATGAAGTTATTCAACTTTGTGAGAATATCAGAATGGCTTTTGTGGAGATTTTTAGAAATTTCACAGATTTAAATCATGAGTCAGTTGAAGCTAGACCACCATGTAAAATCTGGATGCACTAGACGTCCGTTTCATCCTAGTATGGGACTCCTCAGCAGTGCGCATCCACGATCCTGCACCTCGCGGGATTCGAACCCAGGGCCTACTGGTTTCGCGCGCGAGCACTTAGCCACTAGACCACCGACCTGGCAGCCTGGAGTTCTAGTGAGAAGCCGTTACCAGTGGAGTTTAACCAGGTCTGTTGTGAGATATCAGCTCACTGAAGACAATGGTGTACGGTGGGGCAACTTCGTGGATTGATCGAAGTTACACATTAACACCGTTGGATGCCGGCTCAGTGGTCTAGTGGTTAAGTGTTCGAGCGCGAAACCAGTAGGTCCTGGGTCCGAATCTCGAGGGGTGCGGGATCGTGGATGCGCACTGCTGAGGCGTCCCATACTAGGACGAAACGGCCGTCCAGTGCTTCCAGGTTTCCCATAATAGTCTAGCTTCAATTGAATCATGATTTCAATTCGTGAGAATAGTTTCAGAAATTATTAGATTAATTGATGTATGTTTCATAAAATCTAGCTAGAAAAACATGCAAATATATGAATTATTTAGTGAACAGAATTGTTTATTCGTTAAACTACATTGATTGCATGATATTTATATTTAAAAGACTCTTTAACATAAAATGACTACAACGATACAAAATGAATAAAATTTATTATACATTTGCATGACAACAAATCTGAACAAACACTCTATGATTAAATTACCAGACAATTACAACTTATAACTGCAATTTACATCCTATTATGTAACAAAATAAGACCATATTAGCACAGGAAATGACAAATTTATTGAATGATCTACTGAAGAGCATTAAACAGCAATTAGGTAATGTGTGGCAGTATCACAAAAACAACTTATTCGTACTAAAACAACACATAAAGACGAACAATATAGTTTTCAATAAGATTCTCACCAGACTTTACTCTAATATACAATAATATTTACAGGCATATATGAAATCATTAAACCAGTCAAGGTAGTTTATCAGTCAATGATAACAGTGGAATGGATTACATAAATAAACATAATAAGTAGAAAGTACAAATTGATAGTGTGATGACAGGTGTACTAGTTGAGGTAAGAATAACAAACGCTTCAAACAATATTTTATAATGGGAAATAGGTCAATGACTTGTAAAATAAAGATCCTGAAATAACATTCATTAGAAATTAAAACATTACGCGATAGGATGTGTTCAGATAATTGGACAGAGTAAAATATATTTGAAGGAACATTGAGCGAATAAAAACAACCGAAATGTATGGCAAATAATAATAAATAAAATCGTTTATTAAGGCTTATTCTGCGACGGGATTTTACAAGTTTATGAAACATTATTGTAAGAATCATGATGTGTACAAAAATTAAACGGGAGAACAGGAAGATGCTATGTCTCTGATACAAAGACTAATCAATACTAAAACCGGTTACTTCTTAACAGGATTATTTTTTTTTAACGTTATTCATCATACCACTCAAGATTGTAAATAAATATTATAAGTACCTTTATTATCGGCGTTTCTCACTCATACAAAAGCAGGAATACAACCTACAATCTCCACAAATCATTCCATACTGATAATAATCATGTTCATGTTCAAGATGTAACTCATGCAGTACTAATTAGAAGCCATGTCAAGTGCAATTTAGCCATATTAGGTTACTTCCTAAATGCTTGACTATAAACAGCACAAAAATAATGTTTTCATAATTGTCATTTTGAATTCTCAAGACCGGGGGTCAGGTTCCAGGAAACTCTCATCCTCAGTGATTGATATCTAAGGACACATAATATGCAAACACTCATGCATATTTCCGAATATCATTGTCAGTTGGAGCAGGAAAGAATGTTTTACTTTCTTTTATTATCTCTTCGATGGTTACAAGGCTGGGTTCAGAGTTCATAGGCGCCCAGTGAAAGTATTAAGTTGACTTCAATCAATGCGCTGAGATTTTATCACCGTAGATAGATTAGGGTCGTAACAAAATTATCCTCAACTTTTGAGTTATTTTGTGTTCACTAAGTAACCACAAAAAGATCAATCTTAATAACTTTAAAGTCTCACTAATTGCTCATCAAGCCAACACACGTTAAAATGACATTTCAGAGATAATTTCTTAGATGAATTAACATTTATTTACAACTATTCAAACACATGGCTTTTCTTTCCGTTACAAAAAACTTTAATTTGTTAGTATTAATATAAGAAGCAAAAGCATACCATAATGTAAACATGTTTCTAGAATAGTATCTTGCTGTTAAAGATGTAAAGATACACTGCAAAGTGGAATAATATTATCGCTCATTAGTAACTCAATAGTAAAGAGAATCAAAACATATAGACACGACTTACGACGATCAGAGAAATCGTCAACAAGTATAATTTCATTTAACAAATTTGGTGGAGATCGATCTATCACTGAATGTACTGAACGTAATAATACTGACCAAGCTTCATTATGAAAACAAATTATAATTGATGCTGAGGGCAGATTACTTCTATATTTATCGACTTTACACCTAGAATATTATTAACAAAGATAAAAGTTATCAGTCATAATGACATCAGAACAAAGGCAAAAGAGTAAAGTTACATTGGTAAGCAAGTCTGTAAGTAATGATGGCATGCAGTTAAGGGAACAATGAATAGATAAATATGACATATGTTATTTCATAGGGCCATTTTAAGCCACATAGATTGAGTAATACAATATACTCTGAATATATTTGGCTGCTCATTGTACTGATGCTAAAAACAGTAAATAAGAATTGGTGAAGTGATGAACTTTGCCATAGCATTAACAAAGTGACATATTATTTGTCAATAAATTCATAACTTATTTCAGTGCTGGGATTAATCAATATAAAAACATCAATATTTGTCAGTTAAAACGATAACTGGTTCAAAACGATATCGCTAGGAATAGGTAAATACTTGCCTTCATCTGTTATATGAAATTTATATATAGGTGTATATGCATATTGGTGTATATACCTATTAAATACTCATATACGGGTATAGATTCAAGGGTCAAACAATTCGTAATGAAAAACACAAAACAATAGAATAATTACTAAATTATTTAAATTTACCAGTCACGAAATGTATAACTAATTGATCATACGGTATTCGAGTGGAAAATGGTAACACTCACTAAATTATTACAAACTTTTTATAATCCTATTATTGTCACTATGGTCAGTTATGTTCATTTATCCAGTAATTAAGGCAGCTTTTTTCCAATTACTGATAAACAGCAAGGACAATAGGCATTCTTTTGAAAACTGTATAATAGTTGTTAAAAGAAAATGATGGTTGAACTTGAAAGACTAAATTACAGTCAAAATCAAATTGAAGATCGTCAAACTACTGTTTTAACAGATGAGTTGTCAGTAAACGGCATTTTTATTATCGCCAGGTTATCCAAATACAATTTGTAATAACTCCAGTGAAGCATACACTACATTTAGTCAATTCATCTTAAAGCTTACTTTATAAAGGATACCATTGGTTCTCCAAAAGATATTCTTTTACTTTAATCACGAGACAAACTGAATTGCAAACATCCTCACTTACAAACAATTAATCAGTTGAGAAAATATAACAGCTGTAACAAGTGAATAATGCTTGATAAACAGTATAGAAAACAGAGAGTAACAATCTATATACTCAGTACTGAGTCCAGTACATCCAAGCATGTGTTCGTTATGATATTTTTAAAGCAATGAGTCGTAATCTAGTGGCCTACATTTCCAACTTTAGTCAGTATAAAGTGTGATTCTCGTCAAATGTGATTTATTGTTTTGGTTGCAACTACGTTGATTTCATGTCTCAAGGTTTACCATTACTACTTTTATTCGAGAATTTCTCTTCCCAGGTTAACAACAACGTCTTAACCATTAAGTCATTCTTTCACAAAATGCGTTAAATACATGAGATGCTATCATATACATGAAGGAGTATTGATGACACCTAATAGTTTGGATTTTCGTAATTCTAATGAATTTCGAAGGTGTGACCGACTAGTTTATGCTCGAATGAATGAATTATATGTATTCTTTAACAGTTAGTTCACTCTCCATGATGTTCCCAACATTTTGAAGACCTGACTTTGACCCAGGTAGTCAACTAACATTTCCAAATTCACAACAAAATTATAGAAAGTGGTTTAATGACCACAAAAATATCAATCACACAGGATAAAAAGATTAGCAAACAACAGTAAATCCGTTTACATAGAGAAAAAAATTTATAATCACGATTTCGAGATTAACTTACGTTCCTTCTCTATAGTCTGGTAAATATCGTCTCACACTAATTCGATCGCTAGCATATTGATTATAGGCATTATCTTCCCAACCCTTATCGAATATTAACTGTTCAGCTGGTGATAAGTCTTCACGATTTACTGTATATGCTTTACCACCTTCACCTTTTATCCAATATATTGTGATTTGATCATCGGCATGTCAAAAGTTCATGTCATTCAAATGACAAACCGTATAAAAAATAAATAATAATTGATTTATTAGTGTTAGGTTGGATGTTAAGGTGTGAAAAAAAACAAAGTATTTATATATTTTATTATATGAAATAGCATTAGCAAGAAAATTAGTGAAAAACAGTGAGTAAGTGTTAGTATAGGGAACTTTGCTAATGAATACTCGAGAGTTTTGACGCAGTAGAACTCTGTACATTTAGATTTCGCAGTGAATGTGTTACTCTAAGGTAACTAAATCAGGACCAATTGGTTCAATGTTTTCCAAATTCAGTAGCATCAAACCTCATATTGTTCTTAATAAACAACATACTTACCTAGCCACTCGAAGGAAAATCGGTAAACATAAGAAAGACAACATTTAAACTAATGATGCTGACTTAATGGCCTACGAGTTAAGGGTCCACTGCAAAACCTAGAGCTCTTTGTTCGATCCCCGGTAGGGTAGTAGATGCATACTGCTTACGAGTTTCAAACTGGAACAAAATATCTATGAACTGCCTTCGAGTTTTTAATAGATGACTCACTACAATCAGTCTATGATGTAACCTACAAAAATTCAAGTCTCCACAAACCCCCAAAGTGAAAACGGTAGAGTTAACAGTGAATTAGAGCATATTACTGAACATAAATTTTTTCATTGAAGATAATTGCAGTTTCAAAAGTTCATTCATATGAAAATATTCACTTGTTTACTGGTTTACACAAATGCTGAAATTAAGAACATCGGTCGAAATTGTTAATAATAATTGGGATATGAAGTAGCAGACAAAAGTCCATATTACAATAAATTACAAAAATATTTATGTAAATGAATCAATACACGTACTTCATTCACAAAAAATGCTAATCAAAGTGGAAACATCAAATTAATGTTCTTAAATGAATAACAATCACTATAATTGAATGATACGCAGAAATAATAAAAGTGGTCGATTCCGATGGAGTAACAGTTTTATTCAAAAAAGCAATTAATTCAGCAGATAACAATGGTTAGTTTGAAGTGATAAAAACATCTAAAGTCTTTATTTATGAGCAGCTTAGAATGTGGTATAAATTTGAATTGGCCAACTTTTCTCACTTATCTACCAATCCATCGAATGGTCTTACGCAAACATATACGTCAGTAGTGTTAAAAACTATAAAATAAAAAAAATTATTCATACAATTCTACATCGATTATTATTCATGATTTAGCAATAATTGTTCGTAACTTTACTGATGGGTAGATCAATAAAAATAAGTTAAACCTTATAGTAGTTCTAACCAAAAGAAAACGTCTTCGAGTGCGTATCCAAGATCACTATCTCCGGTGAGTTTTGAATTAGCTCAGATTAAAATAACTCTCAAAATTCATAGCTAACAAGCCTCGTAGAACGAAATTTATGGATTAAAAAACGTTTGCTTAGAAAGCCATGTGAGTGAGTTAAAATTAGTAACAATAACTAAATTGGAAGATATACTGACCTGGACCTGTTGAGTATTCGTCGCTTTTTTGAGGAGGAGAACTAGGAGATAAGCCTAACTTGGCTATTGCTGATAGTTTATCTGAACGACTGCTTTCAACAGGTTCATTACCGCCCATAATTCTAGACTTTTCCTTATAGTCAGGTTGCACAAGAACATTATTGTCCTGATTAATAGGCGGCACAATATCAGGCAAATGATTTTCACCGTGTTCATCATCAACAGATTGGCGTTTCGCATCCTCATGACCTGTTAAAGCAATCAACGAATAATATCAGACCAACAAAGATTCATATTTGAAATTCAAATAAAATTTTTATCGGAAATGAAAGCAAAGTTTAAAGGCAATAATCATTCTGGATGACTTAACCAACTGTTTCATTCTACAATAAGGGTGCTTCTATCTAACAAGCCTTCATTCATGTTAGACATAACAGTAAATGGTATTGGGATAAACCATTACTCAACATGAAGATCTGCTTAAAATTTTATTAAGATATACCAGTTTCGATTTATTTGAATAACTCAAGTGTACATCGTTTTTTTCACATCTTTAACGGTTCATATGTTATTCGAAGTAAAAAGTGATTAGGTGAACTGAGGTCTTCGTCAGACATGTTGATGTGACACCGCCTTATTACGTAAAAATATCTGAATGATTGCATTATTATTAATTACTTCTGTCAAGATATATAAATCATTCCACGAACAATCTGCGAATGTTAGCAATATCAAAACACCCTTAATTTCAGTGGAGATTAATTAATAAAATGAAAGATTTGATCCACATCAAAAGTGAATATAATTTAACTGCTGATTCGTCTCATTAGTTTTGAAAAATTAACAGAATTTCACGACTTAATGCTTATGCTATCACCTTCAATAGTCACTCCCTCGGAAGTATTGCAATTTCAATGAATAAGGAGAAAACGGTAACAATTATCAAACATTAAAAAATTATATACGATTTCACATTGCATAGTTTAGATAATATAGCGATATCCTGTGTCTTATGGCTAGTAAAACTGATGTTATCTCTGATTATGAATTCATCTTATACTTCAAATTATTAACGACTATGTATCAATAATTCATTCAAAATAATCTATGAAACACTCTTTCTAAAATGGTATACAATTATTTTTTTTGAAAGCTTCACCTTTTTTATCAATCTGAGCATCCTTGTAAATTAGTGTGCACTCTGTAATCATTCTTGGGATATGCATATGCATACATATATACGTAATTGTTTTCATGTGTAACTCGTAACTAAGTTCACATAGAGATATTGTGGTGACCGTGAAAAAACAAAACACTTATTGTGTGCATTAGACTATTGGACCATGTCCTTACTATTAAGCAAACAATTCACTTGAAGCTGTTGAGTAATCTCACAAGGAATCGATTCTTGATAAATCCATCAAAGGTTTAAGCTTCATTTCCATTAGGTGTCACTATGAATTTCGGATTACATTCCATAGTTTGTTTGTCAGAATTACTGACTGATGCATGTGAAATACACACCAAAAATGTTCTGCTAATTAATTTAATTTTTATAGGAAAACTAATGTAGTGTATTTCTGCTTCTGTATACCACTTCTGAAATATTTTATGAGCACAGTTTCTTAAATTGACTAAATACTTCCGACAGATTCGAAAATTTTAAAATTATAATGTACACATAGGAAAATTTACGGAATAAAGTCAGTTCATTTCGTAAATTTCCCTCTTGATTTTGTACACAAATGGTTTTATTCTCAAAATTAGTAAGAGCATAGTGAATGAATACAAAATCACTAGATAAATTGAATTCACATTGGATTTTCATAAATCCCTTCTAATAAATGATGAAAAAAACATACCTCTAGGACTACTTACTTAAATCTTTGTCAATTGGAGGATATGGACGAGCGTTCGGAAAATGAGGTATTTTTAGATTATTCCCAATAAGTGAATTGTTCTTTTGGGATCTATCTTGATATTTTAGTTCCTTATGACTTGGTCGACGTGCTAAGATTTGATTATTTTCTATATATATTTGATCAAGTAAATAGGCTGAATCTGCATGCAACTTACCATGGTCAAGTTTATCTATTTTTATCCACGTAATCAATAGGAGTCCAAAACACACTAATCCCAAAGGCAACAGTCTACTTTTTCTCCAGAATAAGTGATGCAAAACCCTTCTGCGCATGCTGTTCTAAAAGATAATCGTGTCAGTGGATCAACGAAACAGTGCCCTCTAAAACCACCTGATATAAAGCGAAATGCAACAGAAACAGTGAGAAAAGCAATGGAAGCTAGATAAAGAATCTACCTATTCAAGTAAATATCTAATGAATTGTAATTACTAGAAATAGGGTATTTTTAAGTTCTGCTTAAAAGTGATGGAAGGTAACTTCATAGATGCATACAAAAAGATCAGAATATAAAGCCAATCAATGCATTATTATATGGTGGTTGTGTAGTACGTCATACTTTTTAAAAAATTCAAGAAGTAATAGCAAAACATGATTGAAGTAATCAAGAAACATCGTTTTCATTTGTCTGTAGCTGCACAGATCTATTCATTTTTCGCCTTCCACCAAATAGTGAGTTTTACCATCAGTTCATACTGATTATTTTCAGAGTTTATTAGTTGCTTTGGAACTGTACGATTTTTTATTCTCACTCCTACCAAATCATGGTTTTGGGAATGTAATTGCGTTCCTGTTCAACTATGTCCTGACTCGGGAATTAATCGAGGAATGTGAAGTGTTGAAGGGGTACTAAGCAATAAGAATAACTCGGTCGTAATAAGAGATATCTTAACAGCGAGCGACGAGTCGTTAGAGATGTAATTAAAAGAATAAAAGCTACTGATGCACATCGATCAGGTGTACTTTTGTCCTAGTTATTCAAATAACCAACATAATCTGTTTACCAAGGACAAGGACAAGTAACCGTCTTTAACATACACTAACCCCTGATACGTTTGTTTAGCTGCGGTGATTATTTATTTTGTATTATTGTTTCAACTATCAAGAACTGATGAAGTTACGAAATTTTTCTATGTGCCGAGTTAGCATGATGCCTTATTATAAATAAACTAGATATTTCGTGTCACTGAAATACTCTACAAAAATTTCGTAATAATCCTCAAACTTTTGATTGGAAATTTCAAACTTACAGGAAAGAAGAGCATGTATACTAAGATTGATTTTGACAAATGTCACCTACTGTTTCAGTCATGAACTCCAATTACTTTGTGAACTTCAAATATGAAATCTGCACCTCTTGAAATGGCTCAGTCAAGCAACCGTTGAATACGTGGACTGATTTCTTTTTTAGGTCCTAGCACACTTAACTATTTAAAACTTAATTCTACGTTTGACGACGAACTGTGAGTTTAGGTTTATTTGGTGTATGTTTTTCAAATGAGTGCAGAGGCACTATTAAATAACAGTTCTGTCTCAAGGACAAGTGTCAAAACTTTCATCTGTCAAAGAACCGCTTATATCCAACATATAATACCCGAGGTTTATTACAACTTCAGGAAAACACGACCCACTCGCCGGTGAGAATCTGTATGTGTGCTTGCTTCCTAACCACTGAAATACAAGACATTTTGAACAACGAAAAGTCCAACATATGCTATAAGTATGACCATTGCCATCAATAATCAAAAACATTGTATCTGACTGAAAAATAATAACAACAAGGATACATCGCAATTCGCGACACAACAAAATTGAATAATACCGATATTGAGTCTTTCTATAAATTTTACCCGAAGAACAAGTAAAATCATGATAGTCAGAATGATCAATGCGCTCAATTGTGGACAGTAGATAGCGAAAATACTTCTCTGTTCACCTAGAAGATGGGACGAACACTTTAGGTGCAAGGAACGGCTAGAATGAATGAAAGCTTACAGCTAGTAATATATCAAGACTTAAGAATCAGGATCAGTAATGAATGCCTACGTAAGCATTGTCTCGTACGAGACACCTTATCCAGAAAATCTGGTCAAAAAATGACACTTGATAGAACACGTGCTCTCCAGTAGGACTGAAACACAGTAAAACATTCATTTCTGATGGGAATATAGCAGAATCAACCTGGTAACTTGTGTCATGTGACACATATGTTTCAATAGTTCCGACCTCCAGACACATTAATGCCGAAATAAGTGTCAAAAACTTTAAGAAAAAGGTACATAACAATAATTGGATGATATATCTGATTCTGTGGACGGATTAATGTGCAACAAATGACTAAACTTACGACCCACTAACACCAGCGCCTTCAAGTTATGTGGGACGAATTGTGCGCTGACTTTACAAGGTCATAGGGTCACTTAATATAAGAACGGCTAATGGGTTAAACACTATAGTTTAAGTAGTGGATGGAAGAGAGAAAACCATCGCCCAACGAGTCACCGTATGTAGTATCGGTGGATCACCTATAATTTTGTGTAGAAACCTATGCATAAATAATAGTAGATTATAATAAAACATTGAGTTACATTCAGATTAAATTCAGATTTATGTAGTAAAGACAGAAACCCTATGGTCTGTGTCATTTCTTTACAAGTATGCTTCTGTGAGCGTATATTTTTATCCTGAGTGAGTCAACTGAGGGCAAAGACACCGCTGCTTTGTGTAATATGTTCCAAGAACTGATGACTCGGTATGAAAACCTGTATGCCACGGCGGGTATTTTGTCCATTCTTGGCTTAGAGCTGGCAGCCTGAACGTGATTCGCAATGATGATTCTCACTAAGGTACTTATCAGTGCCAAGATTTTCCAGATTAAGTCTATTTGTTGACATCTTGCTAAAATCTGCCTAGAGAACATACAATGATTTTCCATTGTCTTGAGCCTTTATCTGTTGCTTCCTTACTATAAATAGGTTTGTTATGCAAAATAAACTTCTAAAACTACGTCGTCCACTGCTTAACAAGTTTTTGGTTCCGAGGAATATCATCAAGGTCTTTTTGAATACTGTTTCCAATATTTTAAATACGACCCTGGTGAGGCTGACAAGTTTGTAGTTCGATGGAAGTTGTCTTGGTTCTGTTTTATTTATTGCAGTGACGATTGCATCCGTCCAGTCAGTATATAGATCACCTTGATCAAGTGACATATTGAATACTACACGTTCTGGACTGCAGTATACTACAACTAATTCAATAATTCGTCGTCTACATTTCGGCCTGTAACACACCAGTTCACATTTCCGTGAGTAGTGTGCCACTGTCTCAACAACACGTGTGGTGAAATTGCTGTTTATGTATGGGATAACTACACCTTCCCTTACTGTTTAGTCAATCAGCCCTTCTGAATAAAAAACCAGTCAACTGAATTTTATTATCAAACACTTCTGATGTTAACCATGTTTCTGAGACAGCAATGGCATTCAGTTTTTTTACCGTTTTCTTGGGATACCTCACCTTATTCAGCGGGCTGCGAGAATTGTATAGCACACCTTTAATTCTGAAGAGAACTTTCCTTTACTATTCACCGCTTCGTATGATCAATCGGTCTATGATCCTAACAAAAATATGTTCCGGATCTAGTCAGTTTGCGCGAGTTTCCCAGTATCATGTTTTTTCTTCTACCGGCGCAAACGTGACCTTATGGTGACACATATTCAGTGATTTTTGTAACAACAAAAATAAAAACCACATTTTTTCCCTAATTTGTCAAACTTTATTTGTAACCACATTTTTACTCAATATCTGTTGTTTTGCTGTATCACTTGTTAAAAAAGACGATGATAATTGTTTCGATGAATGATATACGATTCTACTACCGCGTTGTTTAAAATATAGGGCACTATCTACGCCGTTTGTTCTTCTGTTTTATTGGCCACCGTTTGATTGAAGACTATAGTAGTATTTATAACATCATTATAGGCCTTCCGACGCAACGTTGAACTTTTGGCGCGGATTACTATTGTATAATACTATTGGACTCCGTCTTCATCATTGCGTCATTGGTGCAGTCACTTGCAGAGGAACACCTGTCAATCAAGTGAACTCAGTTTGTGGTCGTTGTTCTCACGAGGAAGTTTACAAGTAACATTCATTCTATAGTAACTGTTAGTGTCTGTTTCTTAATATGACTTTTGTATTGCTAACGGTATTTTGTTACCTCTGGTTTTATCAACGGACAGACATATTGGTTTCTTTACTATTAGTTTTTTGGTATATCATCATTAACCTAGTGTACCAATATATTTTGTGTAAGCTCCTTTTGTTTGGAAGCCACCACAACCTAAAGACGTGGTTTTTCTGAGTACTTTCAAAATTCACTTTTTGTCCTATAGCATAAGACTTACAGATGTTAACTATTGAAACTCTCTCTGGAAGTAGATTGCTGATTAAGCGCTTAATGTGGCTGAGGTTGTGTTCAAGTCTAGTTGTTGGTCTCTTTTTGGAAGATCCTTTTAACTCATGAAAAATGATTGACCTGCCAGCGTGGCCCGTTTTAACACGCTGTGGAATTTTAATCCACGAAATCTTCTCCTTTCTGCGATCCGATTTGTCGTCAAATGCAGAGGCCTCACTCTACTCCCTTACTTCTCCTTTTCTGGGTGTAACTGTAAGTCAATCGTTTACCTTATTAAGTCTCATGATCACACCATCTACACCGCGCAAACTATGCCCCCCATAGTCTGTTCTGAGTTAATAAGTGAATCCGAAACTGAAACTGTACATTCACATACCTTAGTGCTACCTGTAATTTCTTTCTTCTCAGCGTTTTTTTTCTTCCACCTTGTAATAATGCCTACATCGGTGTTATCCGCTTCCCTAATGGGGCCCACCTATATGGTCTCTTTTAAATCCAGATCTGGGCTTATGATAACGCTCTTTATTTCTTCTAAGGCTGAATTTCGCTCATTTACTTACTTACTTCCTTACGCCCGTTACTCCACGCGGGGGAGGGCGTAGACCACTCAACATCACTCTACACCCAACCCTGTCCTGGGCAATCCCCTCCAGTTCTTTTCAGTCGCTAAACATTCTTTTTTATGTGCTTCCGTCTCTTGACGTTGAATGTCCTTAGGTATCTCAGTTTTCTGCTTTTCTTCGGAAATCCGAGTTAATGGTTGCTTCGTGATGCAGTTTGGTGACTTCCATCATGTATGTTCTATCCGCTTTCAACATCGTTTCACGATTTCCGCTTCAGCTGTAAGCTAGTTTGTCCTTTCCCACAGTAGGCTGTTACTGATGGTATCCGGCCAACGGGTGGTGAGTATTTTACGTAGATAAATGTTTATAAATACTCATATACTTCTGCCTGTTTATCTGTAGGCAATTTTATAGCTCTGTTCAAACCTCACTCGCCTCAAGAATCATCAGAGACTTTGTAGAACAGCACGCTTTGCATAGTCAAAGAGATAGTGGCCTACAGTACTATTTATTTGCAGCCGGTGTGAGTTTGATGCACATGTTGTTGTAGTTGCCACACTGCATTCTATCATCGACAGGGAAATAGCATGTGAGTCTGCCAAAATGATTTTTTACTTGTGTCATAAAATTGTTTTGTATTCTCACGGGAAGAACTACAGCGACAACTGATTCCTAAAATAAGTTACTTTAAAGGCTCCATAACTGATAGATAGTGAACACAAAAACAGAGGTTTGTATATTACTGCATCTAAGAACAATAAAGAATTTAACTACAGTTGATACAGAAAAACCTTGACACCTTTGGATACAAGTAGTACTAAATGACATACTCAACGAGGAGAAAAATACTAGTGCCCTTTTCTTAACTGTACTCAAAAGTACAGATGGTAAACGTCTCTAGAAAAAAGTGATACTCTTGGACATTACTTAAACTGAAATTAATGCATTTGAGGCAAAACTACTCATAAATATTGCGTGTGTCTATAATTCATTTCGCTGTTAAGCGGGTGAATAATGAGGTCAAACCACTTGCCTTCTTTTCAAAGAAGCTAGAACCAACCCAGACTCGATATAGCACTTTTGGTAGAGAACTATTGGCTATTTATCTAGCTGTTAAACATTTTAACCACTTACTGCAAGGCAGAGACTTTGTGATACTTAGTGATCACAAACCTTTAACCTATGCCTTTAACGCGAAAAGTGACCGTTATTCCCCTAGAGAAATGTGACAATTGGATTATATTTCCCAATTTTCGACCAATATACAGTTTATAAAAGGTGAGTCAAATGTTGTTGCGGATACTTTGTCACGTTTCAACGTTGATGCAATTTTCTTCACCAAAGGAATCGATTTATCAGACATGGCACGTTTGCAGACAGATGATCCTGACCTAGATGATTGTAAACAAAGTTCGAGCTTGTCCTTAAAAAGTGTTCCTATACCGCATTCTGACTCTACTATCATTTGTGATACTTCTACTGGAACTCACAGACCTTTTGTGCCAATAGTGTACAGAAAAAGAGTTTTTGATTGTCTTAACTCACTAACCCATCCAGGGATTCGTGCTACTGTGAAACTGATTGCCGAAAGATTTGTTTGGCCAAGGATGAATGCAAATATAAAACAATGGACCAGGACTTGTGTAGAATGTCAGCGCAGTAAAATACATAGACATACGATTACAACACCGTCAGCATTTAGTCTACCCGACCATCGTTTTCAACATGTTCATGTTGATTTAGTTGGTCCTCTGCCTCCATCTAACCGATTCACTTAAATTTTTACTGCAGTGGACAGTTTCACTAGATGGCCAATTGCATGCCCAATAAAAGATATCTCCGCGGAAAATGTTGCTGCTGTATTCCTCGACAGATGGATCGCTAATTTTGGTGTACCTTCTACAGTTACTTCTGACAGAGGTTCACAGTTCCAATCTCACCTCTTCAATGAATTTACCCGCATTTTACGAATCCATCACATCAAGACGACAGCATACCATCCAGCAGCGAATGGACTAGTGGAACGTTTCCACAAACAACTAAAAAGCTCATTGATGGTACAATCTGATGTTTCTAGATGGAGTGAATCTCTACCACTTATTTTACTAAGCATACGTTCGACAATTAAAGAAGACCTACAATGTACCCCGGCACAGCTCGTCTATGGAACTAATTTAACCTTACCGGGGCAGCTAGTGACGCATAATGGCAAACCCGTATGTACGGATCCCACTTCTTTTTGCGAAAGACTAATGAGCCATATGAATAACATTAAGCCTGTTGCACCTCGACCAGTTGTCTTAAAAGAGCAAGTTAGCAAGCATCTAGATACGTGTAAATTTGTATTTGTTCGTGTTGACTCCGTAAGACGTCCTCTACAACATCCTTATGAAGGACCATATGAAGTAGTTGA